TTGGGGTCATCGTCCTCAAGGCCTAGTGGGCCAGGATGTGCTCCAGTCTCTCCTCCTCTCCCATCATCTGCTCCAGCATGTCATTTTTACAACAAATAGCCCTTGTAATACAGTTGACAATAACTACAAATGGAATGTGGATATAAAAACTTGAAATTTCCTTTTTGTAGTAGTCGTCAGCTATATGTCTTCCCCATAATAATTGCGGTACCAGTGTTTTGTAAATATATATATATATATATATATATATCACATGTTATGCATATTTTTTTCTTTGCAAATTCTTTAGTTTTGAGTCATTTCAAAGACTTTCTCAGGAATTCAAATGCTGTTTATCTTTTATTTTACTTAAATATTTTTCTACTCTGAATTAACTCTGCCTTAATTTTAATACTTAAATCATGAAACTTCTGCCATGAACTAATTTATCAAACACAATGTTCATGGTCATTCTAAGACTTTTTTGTTTCAAGAGGGTAAAAAAATGAAAATGAAATGATGCAGAGTTCACTCACAGTCAGAGGAGACACCAATTTGGGGGCTAGCTTATCCTTTGAAAAAATGGTCGAGCTTAGCTTTACACAGGTAGTTTCTGATTAAAGATGAGATGTTAATGCTTTGCTGATTAGTCCTTACTTAGGTTTCTCTAAACTAAGATTGAATTCACCTTTAATCTTTTAGCACTAGTGCCCCAGACACTGGCACACATATGGCAAATGTGGCAATATCTCTCTTAGATAATTAATTAGTAGAGTGTTTAAATCCCAGAATCATTGGCAGTCAGGAAATAAGGCAGAATCAGTCCTTTTAAAGTTCACTTATCAATTTTATCTGCCAAGATTGTGTTGACTGATACTAGGAATATCAGAATGGCAGATATGGAAAAATAAGCCTTTACAGATCTCTCAGATTAAATATTTACATGTGCTCTTTATAAAAAATTCTGGGTGAATTCTTTTAACATTATTCATTGGCATAAGTAGAAGCAAAAAAAAGTTAAATATTGTTTACAGTATTTGGTTGTCCTTTGAGATGAATCAGCAGTAGGAATGTTAAATTTCTTTACTAATTTTCTTTTTAATCCTCTGATATTCTGGTCACATAAATAGCACAGTACAAGGCACTAAGAATACAAAGATAAGTATAAAACAATATATGGCTCCTAATCTCAGGAAATATCCAACTGGTAGGCAAATTTGCATGTAACAGATAATTACAGTGTAATTAGATGCATGTCATTGTATTTTCATACTAGATAGAATGAAGTTAAGGAGTAGCTGTAAGAATTCCAGAAAGAAAATTTTATATTAGTGTATAACTTTAAGCTAGTACTTTGTGGGTGATAAAAAATAAAGTTTATTAGGTGAAAGAAAAAAAAAACTCGTTTTTATCTTTGCCAGTTTCTGCCACCTCAAAGGTTCAGGAATTCCTCATTTCCAGGCACAAAAGCTGACAGAAAATGAAGACGCATGCTTGTTCAGTAAAATCCAGAGGATTATATGTTTATCATTTAAAGGTAGAATATCTCCCTCTCCCCACATTTAGTTAGTTTGTTTATTTGTTTGTTGTTGTTTCCACATTCTCTATCCTAGTCTAAGCAGTTTTTTCCATAAACAAGTAATACATGAAGAGTGTAGGTGCATTGTTTTGTTGAGTTCTAGAAAGGGCCCCTTAAGTTAGAGCGTCAGTGTTTGTGCCATTTCTCGGGAGATAGATCACTCCTCTCTTTGTTTCACGGAGCACCAGAGCATGCTGACAAAAGTGGTCTTTATTCAAGGATAAACTCTGCTCTGTTTCAGCAATCCCTCCTCTCCTCCACCCTCCAGCCTTTTTGAATTTATTTGTTGCTGTTTTTTTCCTGTGCCTGGATACATGGCTTCATAGTGATCATGATGAAAGTCTTCCTGGTTGCTTTCTCTTTAGAATGACCTGGCCTTCATCTCTCTGATTCTAAGCTGAGGAGGGCAAAAATGTCAAAAATAATGAGGCCAACTGGATCTGAACACTGACTCCCAGTCTCAACCCAGAGATCAGGGACTTTGCCTTAACAGTCATCGTTAGAAAAGCAATGAGGGAAAGCTCCTTGGTGGAAAGCTGTGAAATGAAGAGAAATCTGAAGCAGCTGTTAGGGGATTAGGAAAAAGTCCCAAACATAGGTAGCACTAACTTGTTCACTTATTTATTCATCCAGTAGTGTGGAAGACTGCTTGCTAGGTGAAGTGATGCAAAGAAAAATGAGAGAACTGCCCCAACCTTTGGGGAATACTACGTGGGAGAGAAACAGGTAGATTGAATCCTGCTGTTTCAGGGTTTCTAAATAAAAACTACTGTTCTTTCAACCTGGTGATGTAGTAGTGGTTACACATTGGGCGGCAATCCACAGGTCAGCAGCAGCTCAAGACCACCAACAGCAGCTCTGAGGGAGAAAGACTGGGCTTGCTACTCCCGTAAACAGTTACAGTCTCGGAAACCCACAGGGAGGTGCTATGAGTCAGCATTGACTCGATGGCAGTGAGTTATTCTTTCCAGCAATATGTACTAAACCTCTGTTATATTTCAGCTACTCTTCTATTCACAGAAAATAATAGAGCAAAGCAGGTGAAATGCCTGTCTTTATAGAACTACCTTCCAGTTTGGAATGATGGAGGTGTGAAATGGATCCAAGTAATGAATAAATGGTAAAAATATATATGTGTGTGTATATATATATATATTTCAAATGATAATAAAAGCCATGGAGAAAAATTACACAAGTAAAAATGGTAGAGATTGCTGAACACATACTGATATGGCAACATTTGAGCAGAGACTTAAAAGAAGAAGTAAGGAATCAAATCAGATGGGTATCTTAACAGTCAAGGCTACATTCACTGGCATTTACTTCATGTCAAGCACTCTTCTAAGCATTTTACATGCCTTAATGGATTTGATTTTCATGAAGTTACATAGAGGAAGTATAATCTTTTCCCCCTTTTCATATAACTTTCCCAATGTTTGAAGCTTAAATATAAAGACCTACTTCATCAACTGGAATCATTTGATTCACTTTCTACTGTTTATTAGTTGAGTTGGCACTGCCAACTGTTTATTAGTTGAGTTAGTTACTGTTTACCACTGAGTTGGCACTGCCTCATGGCAACCATATATGTAACAAAGTGACACTGGACCATCTTCATGACCTTTGGTCTGTTTGAGCCTGTTGTTGTGGGGGTTGTGCCATCCTGTCTCATGGAGAGTTACCCTCTTTTTCTCTGCCCCTCTGTTGTACTAAATATGATGCCCTTTTCTAGCAATTGATCTTCCATGATAATGTGTGCAAAGTGCAGTCTTACCGCCCTCCATTCTAAGGTGTAATCTGATTGTATTTCTTCTAAGACTGGTTTATTTGTTCTTCTGGCTGTCCACAAATATGCAATATTCTTCACCAACAAACATTTATAATATGTCAGTTCTTCTTGGGTCTTCCTTTTCATTATCCAACTTTGTTATGCATCTGAGGTGATTGAAAAGACCAGGGCTTGGGTCAGGTGTACCTCAATCACCAATGTGACACCTTTGCTTTTTAAAACTTCAGAGAGGTCTTTGCAGTAGATTTTTCAAGTGCAGTCTGCTATTTTATTTCTTGATTGCTGCATGGATGGATTTTAATTTTTGATCGAAGTAGAATGAAATCACTAAAAGCATATATACTAGAGTGAAACTAAAGCTCTAATTCAGAGTAAAATCATTTGCACAGTGATTTTCCCCAAAAGCCCTATTTCAATATTTTGAGACATATGTCTTCATAAGCCTACAGAAATGTTACTTGGTAGACATCTTAAAGAAGTTGCTTTCATAAATGCGTTAGGTTGGCGTTCCATTACTATTATTGGATAGGAATGAATGACAATTTAAGAAGGGTGGAGGGGAGGAGAAGCTATTGTGTTTTATAAGTTTTAAAAATATTCACTATTCTTTGTAGCAGTAACTTTTTATATAAATAGGGATTTATAAAAGGTAGCCTATGCAATGAATGTACAAATGTGCATTACACAATTAATATATGTATTGTGATAAGAGTTGTATGACCCTCTAATAAAATGATTTTTTTTAAAAAGGAAAGAAATGTAGCCTATGATATCACAAATTCTAAATGTAAAATACAGTTAAAAGTTTTGTCGTGATACCCTATTCTAAAGGAAACACGTAGTGACCAAATACGAAAGAAGCTTGTAAAGGTTCATAATGAAAAGATCTTTCCGTTCTCCATTTCAATGAATTTCAAAGGACATGTTGATGTGTGTGTGTGTTTCTATATGATGTGTTGATAACTTTTATTATGCAGGGAATTCCAGAATGGTTTCTGCCCCACTGATGGATTCAAAGATGCCTCACTGACTGCTCCATTGAATGTCATAATTAAAGCTCTCCTTGCTCTTAGAAAGAGAGGAACTCCTGGTCAATGGGCAGATCTGCTTCCTCATCATTGTGATCAAGATGTAGTGATTTTAGTGACCATGGATATGCCCCTTCTGTCCAGGTACCCCAGTTACGAATTTATCAGTGACAACTCTATCTCCTGGTCCGCTGGGCTGCACAATCGATACACGGAAAACTCCCTGCGCGGTGTGATCCTGGATATACACTTTCTCTCCCAAGCCGACTTCCTCGTGTGCACGTTCTCATCCCAGGTAAGTGACAGGAGGACATTTGCAAGTGGCCGGTATTTATATTTTTTAGTCATAGAGGGAATTCTCTAACCTTTTTTTAATGTTAGTTATCATGACTCAGGTGCAATTTTCTTGATGTTACAAACAATCCCTTTGTAAAAGAATGAAAAGATTCTGTAAAATCATTGTTTCTGTGCACCAAAATAACCATTAACGTATAATGTTCATATTGTGAAAAGACATTTATTAAATCTAACCTATGTTAACACAAATTCTATATTTAAAAAATAAATGAACGGTGTCATGATATTTATGTTCTAAAGGAAAAATTTAATGAGCAAATATGAAAGCAGCTTGGAAAAGCTCTTTTAAGCGAATAGCTGTTTACAAACAATGGTTGAATACATCTCTACTAAAGTCAGTTACTGGAGTTGTTTAAAGTGCTTGGCTTATTCACAGCATTTAACAGAAACAGTAAGTAATTAACTTTAGTTAATACTTTCTGATTTTTGCACACATTTCTGTATAACCAGAATCTGTCCATTTCTACACATCAGTGCACTGATACTCAAAGCTCAAATGCACAGCATTTTGCCTCACTTAATTGCTTTATATAAAATAAGAAAAAAAGCATAAGTGCATTTCCTCTTCAAGTACTATTACATTTCTACCAAGTGGAAACTGTCCATTAAATCTAAGCAGTACTCACCATCCTTTTTTGAGTTTAATTGTTGCAGATGATGATATGTTTTGGCTTGGTGTGTGTATGTGTTTTTATGACTGTTCAATCAGCCGTTGTGCCCAGTGGAGTAATCAGGATAGCAGTATTTACCGTGGATTCTATTTAGTGCTGCTTTCATATATGCACGTATTTTTGGTTAGTTCATTGAACAAGCTGTTCAATGGCTGTTTTGTCCTCTTCATTATATTAGGTGCAGAGGTGCATTCAAAGGAGATTGAAAATACTGATCTTTCCCTGATTCAGAATCTTATAAGCACAATACAAATAAAATACTAGGGAATAATTTCCAAGAAATAGAAATTGGTATAAGATAAATGTATGTGTATGTCTTGAGAAAATTCAGGGAAAAAAGGAAATATGAACACGGAGAGCCACGTAATTCTCAAGAGAATATACTTCACGAAATTAAAGGGACAGTTTCTTATTACACTGCCTGGTGATTGTTGGAAAGATAACTTACAAGGCGAAGGCTATGCTTTCTTTCAAAGTGCAACGCAAATGCAACCGTACTACTGAGAGCCAAAGAGAAAAGGCAGCACTGATTCTTGTTAGAAGGGAAGACTCCCTGGGCCCTCAAGTCTCCCTGAGGGTGTCCATGGATGGCCTTATTCTCGGATTAGAGCGAGGACTCTCTCTCTTGGAGAGTACCCGTTTCAAGTCTGAAGGTTGGGCGTTATAGCCAACTGGCCTCTCTCAGCTGTTTTTGAGACTATGGCTATGCACTTGTATTGTCTTCATTGTTGTGGTTGCTAGATGCCATCAAGTCAGTTCCGACCCATAGCAACCTTATGCACAACAGGATGAAACAGCCCGGCCCTGTACCATCCTCACAATTGTTCATATACTTGAGCCATTGTTAGAGCATGGTGTCAGTCCATCTCCTTGAGGGCTTTCCTCTCCTTCACTGCCCCTCTGCTGTATCAAACATGATGTCCTTCTCCAGGACTTCCTCTCTCCTGACAACATACCCAAAGTATGTAAGACAAAGCCTCACCATCTTTGCCTCCAAGGAGCACTCTGGCCATATGCTGTCTTAATTAGTACTCCTTATTACCCTCTGAGGAGACCTGCTGACCTAGCGGTTACGAGGTGGGCTGCTATCCACAAGGTCAGCAATTCAGAACTACCAGTTGCTAAGTGGCAGAGTGACAGGCTCAGAAACTCATAGGACAGTTTTATCCTGCCCTGTAGGGTCAGCATCAACTTGATGGTAGTGAATTTGGAATGTATTTTACCTCTAACTTCTAATATCCATTGCAGTGTCTACACAGAATTCAGAGAATACTCATGATTAAAGGGTTTGTTAAAGACGTTCACAAGTTGTAATGCAAGTAAGAAAAGCTCAGGATACAGTTGTTCATCAGCACAGCAAGTTCTCTCAGGTCTTCTACTAAATGCTCAGAGAGGCGTACCTCTCTGCTGTAAGCCTCAACCTGCAGGATTCAGCTCAAGCTCTGGGGGTCAGCAAACCCAGCGCCCTGAATATAGTCCCCAGAGGAATCAAGTCGCCTGCCCCAAAGCACTCAGCTTTACTTGTTCAGGAGCCTAGGAAGTCCACCACTGTGTTTCTGGTTCTGCTCCTGGTCTGCTGCTGCCGCTCCCCTGCCGTCTTGATTTGTTTTCTGGATCCAGAAGGTTCCCTGTGCAGGAACCATGGGTCCAGGGGATGCATTCCATTCTTGGCTTTTGCTGATGTGATCCCTTCTTCCCGACTTTCAGAGGGCTCATTTTGTACCCAGCAGAATGGCATTCCAGGGAATCCCCTTTATAATTACTCACAGATGAATCACATCGTCGCCCAGCTTCTTACCAGTGTTCTTCTCTAACACTATAATTCAAAAGCATGAGTTCTTCAGTCCTCCTTTTATGTTCACCGGTTTTGACAGGCAACTGAAGCTTTTGAAAATGCCATGGCTGGGGTCAGGAGCACCTTAGGCCTCAAAGTGACATTTTGGTTCTTTAATATTTGTAACACTGAAGAGATCTTTAGCAGCATATTTGCCCAAAGCAGTCTATTATTTGATTTCTTTACTGCTTCTTCCATGGGGTTGATTGTGGGTCCAAGTAAAATGAAATTCTTGACAACTACAATCTTTTATCTATTTACAATACTATTGTTTTATTGGCTCAGGATTTGGTTTTCTTTACATTGAGGTGGTAATACTAAAGGATGTAGTGTTTGCTCTTCATCAGTATGTGCTTCAAGTCCTCTTCATTTTGCGAAAGCCAAGTTGTATCATATGCATATCACACAAGCTGTTAATGGGTCTTCCAATCCTGATGTCATGTTCTTCATCTAATCCAGCTTCTTGGATTATTTGCTCATTTTACAGATTGAATAAGCATAATGAAAGAATATAGCCCAGACACACACCTTTGCTGGTTTTAAGTTAGGCAAAGAAAAAAACCCCTTGTTCTTTTTGAGTGACTGCTTCTATGTACAAGTTCTACATGAGCACAGTTACGTGTTCTGGAATTTTCATTCTTCACAATGCTATCCGTAATTGTTATGATGCACACAGTCAAATGCCTATGCATAGTAAATAGAACACAAGTAAACAGCTTCTTGATATTCTCTGCTTTCAGCCAAGATCCATTTGATGTTGTCTGTTCTTGAGATAGTCTCTAAATTCAGATGGAAATACTCAAGGTCATGCTTTGGTTCTTGTGGACTTGTAACATTTATCAGTTTCAACTTGAACTTCCATATGAGCGCTTGATGGTTTGCTCCACAGTCGACCCAACCTTGTTCTAATTCATGCCAAGATAGGATAGGAGGGACTTGGACACCTACTTCTAAGAAAGCTGCCCAGTGAAAACCTTCCTTATTCTAGGTTTCCTTAATAATACCAGTTGACTCATTCTGGAGAGAAAGACTGGCCTTGGCTTGATGTTACATCTCATGACGTTAAAATATAAACATCTGAAATAAAGGATACCAGGAATAATATGCATCTAGTTAAAAGCATGGACAGCCAGGGTTCAAAATCTAACCACTTATAAATAGAATAATCTTGAGCAAATTCCTTAATTGACCTGTGCTTTAGTTTTTGCAGCTATAAAGTGATAATAATGATAAAGCCTTATTTGGATATTGAGGTAATTAGATTGGATAACATCTAATAACAATGCCTGCCATCTAGCAAAAGCTTGGTAAATATTTGCTTTTTTTTTTTGCTTTTGTAGTCACTTTACTTTAATTATTTGCTTTCTCCCTTCCCAAAGTCCCCATTAATTTTGCAAGGCTTTATCTAGATTTGAAGTTTTAAGACCCAAAGGCTTTTGATCCTTATTTTGTGATAGTTATACCATGATATTAAATTAGTTTATGAGTAAAATAGTAGTGCTTCTTATGGTCTTGATTCTTCGCCTTGTGGTAAATTCTAGCACTACAACTTAGAGAAATCAGTTAATTTCTTCGTATTTTAGTCCCTATCTGCAACATTAAAAATAATGTCCAAGTTCAATTGCATTTTCAAATTAAATGGAGCACTTGGGAATTGGCCTTCATGTTTCTAGATTTCAGATTCTCTAAGAAGTTAAGGTAATGATTAACCCCATCAAGTTCCATTTTTTAAATAAGAGTTTAAAATGAGCATTTCCATTTAGTCTTTTTGGTGATCTTTATCATGAAGGCTGAGGTTTTAGAGGACTGTCAAGTAAATCCAAAATTGGTTCACTGACCATGTTAGCAATCATTTCCAGTAGTTTCTTTTTCTTTCTTTCTTTTTTTAAAAATCATTTGATTGGGGGCTCATACAACTCTTATCAAAATCCATATATACATCAGTTGTATAAAGCACATTTGTACATTCATTACCCTCATCATTCTCAAAACATTTGCTCTCCACGTAAGCCCCTGGCATCAGCTCCTCATTTTTCCCCTCCCTCCCTGCTCCCCCCTCTCTCTAGTAGTTTCTTTTAAGTAAATTCTAATTAATAGTAGTAAATACGTGTGGTACAGCTTTATTCACTGAATTGGATACCACAACTAGAGTTTGGGGGGAAATTTGACCTGAATTGAGTTCCCTAATCAAAATGTGCATAAAGAAAGGATTTTCTTAGCAAGATGGTAATATTCTCTCTTTTTATCTTCACCTGTTTTTAGAAAAGTTTCCGAAACTCATTTACTCTATAATGAAAATGTCTGTTGATTGCTAAAATGTTATATCTCTATGGGTATATTTAGAGTTTAACTTTGTTATTAAGTATGAAATTCAAGAAATGCAGTTTATAATATGATAGAAGGACCCAGTTAGGATGAGAAAGTATTGTAGAAAAAAATCTTAAGTTCATAAAAATGACCAGATTTATTGGATTTGCCCGAGACTAGAGGAACCCCGAGACCCTTACCTGAGACCCTTACCTTGTAACTTGAAACTGAAGCTACCACCAGAGGTCACCTTTCAAATAGTAGATTCCAAACCAGCCCACCTCTGAAGAATATGCCCCTTTAAATAAAGTGCAGAGACGGAGCAGTCAGTATCTATAAGAAGCCAAGGGGAAAAGGCAAAGAACCTGGACAGGTGGAATGGGGTGGTAAGCAGGGTGGAAAATGGTGAGAGTGCTTGCTCACAAATCATGGGCTTGTAACCAAAGCCTCAGCGCAATTTGGGTATAATCTATTGAGTGGGAATCTAAGTGTGTAAACATCCACCCAAAAATATTTGATTCTATTTTATGGATAAACACCTAAAATGCGATAAAATATTTTTAAAAACGAGAAATGTACTCATATTATGAAACCAGCGATCAGAGACGGCATCATTTGGACAAAAGGATCATTTTAAGAGCCCTAGAATGCCCTACTCCGTGGGCGAGGCAGGACCTTCTACTCCCTTGCCCAGTCAGGCTCAGACGCTCACAGGAGCAGTTCCGCCCTGCCCTGCAGGGTCGCATGGCAGTGAGTTTGAGTTGTGGTTTTTCAGAGCTACACCGATCTGGTGGATTCATGCCCTGCCTTCTCAGACGTTAACTCTAGCCTATGTTGCTCCAAGCTTGCTACTGTTTACCTAGCACACTTAAACTCTTCAGAATAGATATATGTCTTTTATCTCATTTGCCAGTACCAAATGATTGTCAGTAACTAACTACCTGAATCTGGCGAGCAGAGATCCAAGTCCTAAATCAGCAGAAACAACATATAATTGGTTAGCATTGAATGAAGGAATGTGAGTGGCACCTCTCGCATCTCCTAAACCTTAAATACTCTAAGGGCAGGAACTATGTTTTAATCATTTTTATACTACTAGTACTCATTGTGTGGTACTGTGTGGCTCTTAATGTTCTTGAAATTCACTGATCTATATTAATGAAGGACCTTGCAAATATATATACATTGTTGTTTTCTCCTAGAGATCTTAATTTTAATAACCTTTTAAAGTAAGTAAATAAATAAGAAAAAAAGCACAAAAATGAAGACTTATTTGGCTTATACAATCATCTGAATGCAAATTAGACTAGAATTCACTGTTTCAGCTAGTCAATCCTAGAGACTCATCTTTTGGGCCGAGGATTGTCAAATTGCTATGAAGGAGAGATTATATATATTAACTTTTTCCCCCCTCACTCTTTCCCAAGGTCTGTCGAGTTGCTTATGAAATCATGCAAACACTGCATCCTGACGCCTCTGCAAATTTCCACTCCTTGGACGACATCTACTATTTTGGGGGCCAGAATGCACACAACCAGATTGCCGTTTATCCTCACCAGCCTCGGACTGCAGATGAGATCCCCATGGAGCCCGGAGATGTCATCGGTGTGGCTGGAAACCACTGGGATGGCTATTCTAAAGGAGTCAACAGAAAACTGGGAAAGACGGGCCTCTATCCCTCCTACAAAGTCCGCGAGAAGATCGAAACCGTCAAGTACCCCACATATCCCGAGGCTGAAAAATAAAGCTCGCCCAGTTCAAAACATTTGAGCCAAACAGTAGACCAAGAAGGCCCCAACCTAACCATGTACGGTTCAGTGAGACACAGCGTCAGTAGCAACTGAGAACTGAGCTCAGCAGCAATAGCAACTGAGAACAGACTGATGCCTCCTAGGTGGAATTGTTCTTTAACAAGGGTCGCCATGCCCTCAGCCCGTGCACAGTCCAATAACGTACTCACATATAACATGCAAACAGGTTGTTTTCTACTTTTCCCCTTCTTTCAAGATTATGTACCCATGAAACAAACACTGCCACACTGTATCATTTAAGTGACAGACAAATTTTGTGTGAGACTTCAAACATGGTGCCTATATCTGAGAGACCGATGTGACCCAATGAGAAGACCCACGATGATCCCTGCTGCCAGGAGCGTTGATCCTTAGCCAGTGGTGATGATGGGACCACTGAGTGCACTCCAATCAACAGATTCAGAATGAGAATGGCTATTTTTTCCTTTATTATGTTGTCTGGATATATTTTTTTTAAGTAATTGCATCAATTCATCCCACCTCATCTTTAATAAGTGAAGGATACATCAGAAAATAAAATATTCACACTCCATTAGGAACTTTTGTAAAACAATGTCATGGACAGATTATTTAGTACTTAATGTTTCTGGACATTCTCTTTGATAACAAAAAATAAATTAAAAAAAGAGCAATTTTGTAAAGTTTCTAGAATTTTGCATCATTGGATGATCTAGTGGTTAGCTTTATAGTGGAAGAACCATGATAAAAAAAAAAGCTTTATAGTTTTTATGCTTTCCATTTTTCTGTTCTCTTTCTGATAGAGTAACCAAATCTCAACTCAGATATTCATTGGTCAATTTTAATACTGAAAACTGAGTTTAGTTGGTGTACATTACAAATCTGATTAAGAACAGTCGGTGAGTTTTCATTCTCTATTTACAGTATCATTTGATTATTTTTAATTGAATGAAATAATTATACTCCTTGCCTCCAGAGAAACTATTACCTGAATTTCTAAACAATCATTTCAGCTCATTTAGTAACTGTGTTAGTCTGGGTAGACTACAGAAACAAAATTCATAGACACTCATGTGTATAAGAAAGAGCTTCATATGCAACAGCAGTTGAATATTGAGAAAACATTCCAGTCCAGATCAAGTCCATAAATCCGATAATAGCCCATGTGTACAATACCAATCTATAAAGTCCTCTTCAGACTCATGCAACACATGCAATGATGCTGAATGCCGGAAGATCACAGGCCAGTGGGTGGAAAGTCTTGTGGATCCAGTGGCAGTGGAAGCATCTCAACGCTGGCAGGGGTCTCTAAGTGGCTCCTTCACCTCCAGGGCTCTAGTGTAGCGCTATGTGTCTTGTCAACAGGAATGTCTCGCAGGGAGTGAACGTGTGTCTCACCTCCAGCAGCTGTTTATCTCCTTGAAGCCTCCAATTGAGGTCATCAAACTACGACCCGATTGACAAGCTAAACTCCACCCCTTCACTCTTTAAGTCTCAAATGACAACAGATTATGTAACTACCACAGTAACCTTTCTTATTGTGACTGTTGTCACTTTCTGTATGTTTGTTCCTTTTGCTTTGTCTTATTACCAACTTGTGTCCTTTTCTATCATGTCCTGCATTTTTAGAATATCAGAATAATTGGGGTTAAGCAGCTAGCTCTTTCTAAGGAATGTGTCTCACGTTATATGAAATTTGGTGACAATAGGAGAAAAGGAACTGCAAGCCAAAATGAATTTGAAATTATCCCTTCCAAATGATTCCTTGTAATATTTCATGTCAGAATCACTTTAAAAGCTAGATTTTGATGATACAATTGAACAACACTTCTGTCTTCATAGAACTACTCCCTATTTGTAAGTAGCCCTCCTCCTACAGATGCCTGGTAGGAGCATCTCATAGCATGTGTATTGCTTTCTAAAAGAAAAACGTGATCTATTTAGAAACCAGTAATAGGCCTGCTGTTGAATATCATGGATCTTAGATTGGAAGGTTTAACCTCGGGCCTCATTCTTTTTTTTTTTTTAATCATTTTATTATTGGCTCATACAACTCTTATCCCAATCCATACACACATCAATTGTGTAAAGCACATTTGTACATTCATTGCCCTCGGGCCTCATTCTTAAAATGAAAACACTTAGATACAAAATCTCTTCAACAAATTTCCCTAAATTCTTTCTTACCTGTCAAAGGTTCCTGGAGAGCAAAGATACCTAGAATATCAGTAGCCAATTTTCCATTTAGTTTTGGTACAAGTAAAAGCCATTTGAAGTAACCTCCAAATGAGCAGAGATGATGAGCTACTTCCACCTCCCATCTCATCTGTCTTCAGCACATCATCATGGATGACGGGTGCCTTCCTTGAGGAAAAATGCACTGTCATCAAGTCAATTGAACTCAGCAGAGCCTCAAAGGGTTTCCAAGGCTATTGTCCTTATGGAAGCCGACGGCTTTCTGTAGCTTTCTTGTGTGGAGTGAGTTCTTAAGCGCCAAGCACGTAACCATTGCACCATCAGGTCTCCTATTCCCTTTAGGATAGCCAAAGGTAAATTGATCTCTTTCTCATTCTAAATTGATCCAGTTCCAGAAACAAAAGGACCAAAGAACAGAAAGATAAAATAGATGAAATGCTTCCCAAATGGTGGTAAAGATTTAATTTCAGATACTGTATCTTTCGGTTCTATAATTTGATTTGTTTGATTTTTATAATTTACATTTTTCTCCTGAGATTTCCACTATTTACTACAAGCATACCCACTTTCTCCTACTTCACCGAACATAGTTATAATAGCTGCTTTACTTTTTTCCCCCTAAGTCCAACATTTGAATCCTCTCACAGTTGGCCCTCGTTGTTTGTCTCTTCTCTGGAGATTGATCATATTTTTCTGGTTCTTCATATATTGAGTAATGTCAGATTGTATCCTGAGTATAGATGCTAATGTTTTAGATTCTGTTATCTTTCTCTCAAAATGTGATGATTTTCTGGTTGATGTTATGGCCGTTAACTCTATTATAGTCAAACTGGAAACTGTCTTGGTTGGCAGCTCAAATCTCAGTTCAGTTATTTCATCTTGCACTAGAATCTGTCCCACAAATGTATGGTTCAGGCTCACTAGAGATTTGAGTATAATTTGGGGTTCTGCTGCTTTGGCTCTTCCCTGCCTCCCAAGAGTTTCTCCCTGACTTTCCAGGAGCTGTGATTGAACTCTGTCCTCTGTTTTGTTTTTCAACTTGAAATACTACAGTTTTCTAACAGCCTAAAAGCCATAAAAATGGGAAACTCACACCAGACTCTTTCTTTCTTCCAAATCGCAATGTGTCTGCAGAATTTGCCTGCTTTTTTGTGTTTAGTCTCAAGTGCTTTTAGATAGTTTGGGATTTTTTGTTTGTTTTGGGAGGGGGTGTTTTTGCTGTGTTTTATAATGGGAATTTATAGCGTTATGTGTGGAAAGCTGAGTTCAGGAGAAATTTACCACACAGGAAGTAGAACTAGACAGAAACTGAAACTGATGAAAAGTGTAGAACAAGGTGGCAGGGATGGGCATGCTTAGTCTTGATTGGCTCCTGCGTAGAGACTGGCCTTGACTGCTAAGCAGCCAGTTGCCTCAAGCAGAAAGGAAGGTAATGAACTAGTCAAATTGCTACACTTGCAGGAATGAATGGCTAGTGAACAGTGCTGACCATCTCTTATTTTAAATTTTATTTTATTGGGGGCTCTTACAGCTCTTATCACAATGGATACAGATATCCATTGTGTCAAACACATCT